GCTGGGGAGGGACAGCCCTCTTGTTCCATCTATGTCTGTCTGTCTGTCAGTCCCACATCTTGTTTTGGAAGCACAATAGTCCCCAGAACTGCAGCTGATGATGGAGGGGGGCTTGAAATGTCCCTCCTCCATGACTACAAAGATAACATTATTTGCAAAGGTCTCTGCTAGCCTTGGGGGCGAGAGCACTGTATCAATGCGCGAGAGTGAGATATGCATTACTGCCCTGACTGTACCAACTCCCCATCACTCTGCAAAAATAATCATCATCAGAGGAGCCCAAAAGGCTGAGGGACTCTGCCTCCTGCAATATTAAACTTTCCCATTTTCTTCTGCCACTTTAAAGATTCCCTTTCTTACTGCGAGTGATAAATAATAACAGCAAAAAAACACCCCACAGACACACAACAGACATCAAAAGCCAAGAGAAGATTGGCAAATAGAGAGATCTGAAGTGAGCAAAGAGGAGGCCTGGTTGTGAGTCGGTTCACGTAGCCCCGACTTCTGTTGCTTTCCATTAATTTTACCCGCCATCACAGGTGGCAGAACAACGGCGACAGCTAATTACTCTCTCTCCCTTTTCCTTTCTTGCCTGTTTGCTTGCAGCAAAAGAAAGTCAGTAAATTCCCAAATTCCCCCCTCCCCATCCCAGAATTGTCCACCGAGAGGCAGAGGCGCATGGGAAGCACGTTATTAGAGGAAGATGAGGCGGGTGCAATTTGCCCGCACATATGCTCGCTGCCTGCTGGAACCGTTTGCTGCCGCTGCTCCTCCAGCCTGGCACCGGGGCTGCGTGATGCTCTGCCTGCAAACAAGCTGGCAGGGGCAGGCAGCAGCTCGAGGCAGGGGGGAGAGGGAGATGGCTGCCCCCACCATCGCTGGGACACTGGGAAGCCTCTTTGGGCTTTCAGCTCCGTGTCCACGGTGCTAAAGCAGATGGGGACACATCTGTGGGGACGCAGCCCAGGTGTCCCCGAGCCTTTCTCGAGCCATGGAGCAGTGTTTCGGTGAGCTGAGCTGCTCCTTAGCTGCAAAGGGAACACGGAGGTGGGATAAACCCAGGCTAGCTGGGGTATACAACCCTACAGAGGCCATGGGATAGCTCTGCGCTGAGATGGCTCTGTATCATGACAGGGAAAACGTGAAAATGAGCAAAACCCCTGCTGCCAGGTTTAATTCATCCCTGTGCCACAAAAACCCTGCTCATGCATTGCTGCAACGCCTCGCCGGCCCTCTGCCCGACTCCCTCCGCTTGCTTTTGGTGACACCAGCTTGTCCCGCGTCTGAAAGCGATTGACAGCCCAGGTGACATTGTGGGTGAACAAACCCCCCTGGGGAAAAAGATGCTCCTTGTCAAGGAATCGTTGCTGCCAGGGAGGGAGGAGGGTTGGGATTTCAGCTCCAGCTTCAGCTGCAGGGTGTCCTCAGAGAAGAAAAGACACAGAGGAACTGTGTCTGCAGCAAAGGACGCCCTGCCCCAGCCCTGCCTGCCCCCCAGCATCATGACATACCAGTGAATTTTAAGGCAGAAGGGTTCTGGCTTTTTCTCCCATTAGAAAATGCCGCCGAGGCCAAACATTTCATGGAAACCTGTCAATTTTGACAAAATGTCTTTAAACGCCCCCCAGAAGAGAAGATGCGGTGCAGGCTGTAACTTTCCACTCTGGCTCTGGGAGCAGATTGCTCCAAGGTCTCCTTTCTAACCAGGTTTTCCTTGCATTAAAACCCACACATATATGATGAATTATATAAGAGAGCACGAAGAAAACCTCTTAAGGAAAAAGCAGCTGCCTTGATTTAATCAAAACTGTATTCTCTACCGGGGGGGTTGAGTAGGGGCAGAGGGGGATTTTTGCCTCTTGGAAATTGTGTTGAATTTTGATTCTTTTCCCTTACCACCTTAATGAAGAGCGTGAGGGGTTTGAGCTTAAAACCCCAGGTCGGGGCTGGCTTAGCAGCTTCTTGCTAACGAGCAGCCAACGGGTCACCAACGCTTCCGAGCATCTCTGGGTGAAAGCTCTGGGTGAGGTGCTCAACCTTACTTACTTTTCCCAGCCAGAAAAACCTGGGGTGCAAACCTGATGCAAAACTTATCACCCCTTGCAAATTCAAGCAATGTGACAGCTTGATCATGTATTTGAAGCAGGGATGGCCCTGTGGAGCTGGTTGTGGATTTATCTCCAGAAAAGGGGGTTTTATATTGTTTAGACATTTTTCCTTTGTGTTCAGAGATGTTTACTGACAAACATTGGGAGGTATTAAAAATAAATGTTGGCTGAAGACCATGATCTGGTGTCTCTATCTGAGGATGAGGGAAGCCATAGGAGATACACTAGAAAGGTTCTCTCCCTGGACAGAAAAAAAAATAAATCACATTTTCTCTCTATTGTTTGCTTTTAAGGCAGAATAAGTTCATTTTCACAGTGACGGGGTCCTGAGTGGCCCTCACGATGGCACTGAGCTCATGTTCTGCCTTTTCACACCTCCAAGTATCTCAGTCCTGGGGATTTACCTATCCCACTCCTTTACCCATCTTCCCTCCTAGGCAGAGGTGAGGTGCAGGGAGCTCCTTGCTCGGATGTCCTGCTCTGGAGGACTCCAAGATTTGGTGCCGATACATCTGCTGCCTTTCCAGGGTTAGTGAAGAGCTTTGGGATCATTTGGAAGGGAAATGAATCTGCCCCCCAAACAATCAGAGCCATTAAGTTGAAGGAAGCCTCACTGAGCGCTGCTGAATCTTGTTTGCTTGTCACAGTGGTAGGGAAAAAACCTTTGTGATGTTAGCATGTTAAGGGAACTTAAGAAATTAAAAACCCAAAGTGACCCAATTTTTCATGCTCTCCCCCCTGCCCCCATCCCTTTTATGAGAAAGCATAACTTGAAAAGAGTGGCATTAGTTTTGATGGTAAAGTCCATCATCAAATGAGTTGCAAAGCACTTTGCAGCAAAACAGAAATCCCAATGCTCAGGCAATAGGAAAGGTGACAAGACATGTGGCTTTGGGATGGGTGAGGAGGAAAGAAAAGGGCTGTGGGTGGCATTTGCTGCTACAGGGGACAGCGAAAACCCTGCACTAGCGAGACGGCGCCGAAGATGGGAGCGGGAGGATCCATCTGCTATTTGGTGGCAAAAAGAAACCCAGCACTGCTTTGGCCACGTACCCCGAGGGTGGAAACAGCCAAGAGGAAGGAGAAAACCCAACTGGAGCCTTCAAGTCTGCTCCATTGTACAGGGGCTGGGCCCAGGGTGGGTTCAGGGACAATGGGAAAGCTGCTGTTGATGAGGATCAGGCTGGATGCCCTGTCTTTGGAGTAGAAATTTTGCCAGGCTCTTGCCACCATCTGGTTCCTTGGCCAAAAGTGGTTGTTTTGCCTTCGACTGTACCAGAATCAATCGCGGCCTAAGACCCACGTGGGACGTTCGCCCAGATCCTTCCCCAGGTTGTCACACACTTCGTTTTCCTCCTAACTGTAAATATGAAAACAGGGCTATTTGTATCTTTGACATTAATTGACTTCTCAAATTAATAACTCTTCTGTGTAACTAGGAACGCAATTATTGCTTTGTTGTGCTGATAGCAGATATCCAGCCGGAAGGAATCATTCCTACCAGCAAACTCGATTTTACTAATTAAGTTGTACAAGCCTAACAGGAGGCGGGTCATGGTAACCTGTCCCCGGAGGTGCCTCCTCTGTTATTATCAACTGACACTGTTGCAAAAACAGAGCTGATTGCATGCCTCTGCGTGCACACTCGTAACTTCAAGGCAGGAGTGATGAGCGGCTGATTGCATCAGTGGGACAGAGGTGTACCTGGTTGCTACAAAACATCTCGGCGCGGGCTCAGACATGGGCCCTCCTGGCCAAGAGCTGGAGCCAGGAGGCTGAGCACCATCCTCTCTTCTCCCAAAGTGTGATGACAACCCACCCTGCTTTCCATACCCCTATTTTTGTCTGCTTAGACTGTGAAATCTTTGAGACAAGGGGTGTTTTCTGATGCTAGCAGCCCTCATACCCACACCCAAGAGCCCGTGGTGGGCACTCTGCTTGGTGCAGAGCCATCTGCTCTCCTGCAGCAAACGAGAGCGACTGAATGCAACGCGGGGAGCAACGAGCCTCGCTGCTGCAGGGTCTGGCCCTGCTTGCTGTCTTGCTCATCCAACCCCACGACTAGTGACCACGGAAGGGTTGGGACGTCCTCAGCGTTGGGGGGCAGGCAGGGAGCCCCGTGCACGGCCTTCTGCCCCGACCTACTGCCGCTGCAAATGGGGCAATTTCTTCTCCTCATCAGTGCCAAACTGAGCCCCTCAACTGCTCGTGCCCTGATTGAAGATCCCACAGCAATCTTACCCACTCAAGTATCATGTCCCACTCAAGGAGAGCCCATCCCCTCTGTACCCCCACATTTCCAGCTCAGGCACCTCTGCTCTGGCCCCTTCCGAGCTCTGCTCCACGCTGCTGGAGTTATAGAGGCTTGTGGCGGCTGCTTAAGGGTTACACGGAGACGGCAGTGGAATTGTATTGTTCAAATCATAAAGAGTATGCAAAAAGAAAAAAAAAAGGAATTTTCCCATAATAGACTTTTCACTCCGCGCGCTTTGCTCGTTATGTCCCCAAACAGATGGCTCCGCCAGCTCGGTGCCAGGCCCTTAATCCACTCCAAAGTGCCAATGAATCTCTGACCGAGGACTTGCTGCATGCAGCAAAACGTAGCAGACGGCCTAACGCAGAGGCAGTCGGAGCCTCTCAACGTGTAACGTCATCGAGGCAAGAGCAGAGTCAGGGAGCCATCGGAGCTGGGATGCTGGGGAGCGCCCTGTGTCACAGCAGTGATAAACACTGGAGCAAGTGGAACAGCCACCAGAAACTGCAGCCAGAGCTGCTGAACACTCTTGGGTGACCTGAGGGAAGTAACTTTGCACGGAGAGGAGAACATGAGAAGCTCTCAGCGGAGGGCTGGAGTGAGATGTGGGGGGCCGGTCAGTGGGGTGGCTGCCTTACCTGTACTGGGTGACGGCAGGGTTGGCCTTGGCAGAGCAGTGGAACTTCACAGTGTTATCCTCTAGGACTGGCTGCGGCTCCACGGACAAGTTCACCAGGGGTGGGTCTGCAAAGAGACAGAGACAAGTGTGAGAGACTGAAACGTCAATTGGTTGTCTCAAAGCTTGCTTGTGTATGTGCTTTGAGTCACGGGGTAGTTTAAGTAATGCCTCAAACATTCATCAAGGACCAGCTGTGGCCTTTGTAATTAGTCTAAGGAATGTTCCCCAAGGAAGCAGGAGTGTATGGAGGGATACACCCTACCATCCCTTGCAGTTGAATTGACAAACTCCTTGATAAGCCTCAAGGAGGGCAAACATGGAATGAGTGAAACCAGGTGTCTCTCATCCAGCACAAGGATCACTAATCACTGGCTCCATTGTGTGAGCCCGATGTTTTTGCAGAATCCCAGACTCATCTGGGTTGGAAAAGCCCTTGAAGCTCCTCCGGTCCAACCATGACCCTCACCCTGACCGTTCCCAACTCCACCAGATCCCTCAGCGCTGGCTCAGCCCGACTCTTCAACCCCTCCAGGGATGGGGACTCCCCCCCTGCCCTGGGCAGCCCATTCCAACGCCCAACAGCCCCTTCTGCACAGAAATCCTTCCTCAGAGCCAGCCTGACCCTGCCCTGGGCAGCTTGAGGCCATTCCCTCGGGGCCTGGCGCTGGCTCCTTGGCTCCAGAGACTCATCCCCCCTCTCTGCCCCCTCCTGGCAGGGAGTTGCAGAGGGCCAGGAGGTCTCCCCTCAGCCTCCTCTTCTCCAGACTGAACCCCCCGAGTTCCCCCAGCTGCTCCCCAGCAGACCTGTGCTCCAGACCCTGCCCCAGCTCCGTTGCCCTTCTCTGGCCACGCTCGAGTCACTCAATGGCCTTTTTGGGGTGAGGGGCCCAAAACTGAACCCACTCAGCGAGGGGCGGCCTCACCAGTGCCGAGCCCAGGGCTCAGATCCCTTCCCTGTCCCTGCTGGCCACGCCAGTGCTGACACAAGCCAGGATGCCATTGGCCTTCTTGGCCACCTGGGCACACTGCTGGCTCATTCTCACCCCCCCCAGTCCCTCTCTGACTGGCAGCTCTCCAGCCACTCCTCCCCAAGCCTGTAGCCCTGCTGGGGGTTGTTGTGGCCCAAGGGCAGCCCCCGGCATTTGGCCTTATTAAAACTCTCCCAGCTGGGCTCAGCCCATCTCTCCAGCCTGCCCAGGTCTCTCTGCAGAGCCTCCCTACCCTCGAGCAGATCAACACTCCCACCCAACTGGGTGTCATCTGCAAATGGACTGAGGGTGCACTCGATCCCCTCGTCCAGATCATCAATAAAGATGTTAAACAGAAGTGGCCCCAAAACCCAGCCCCGGGGACACCACTTGTGACCTGCCGCCAGCTGGATTTAACCCCATTCACCACAGTTTGTGGCTCTGCTGTGTATGCCAGATGCCATGCAGGCCTTGCAAATGGCTTTGCCACTTCACCAGTGAGCAGGTGATAAGAACTGATAAGAGGTGATCATTTTTGCCCCCGAAGCTGGATGATTGCTCAAGAAGCAGGAAGTCAGCAGATCTGTGGGAACTGAGGCAAAACCAAAGGGGGTCAGGGCGAGCACAACCACCATTCAGTTGGACAATGGGTGGTGCACCCCATTCTCCCTCAATATATGCGCAGAACCCACAACCCACCTTTTTCCTCGTCTCTCATGGAAATGAGTTTGTGGAATACCTGACTCTCTTTGTCTAGTATGCAAATCAGCTGATGAGTTTAAAAGGCAACACTTTGCTGTGTGTGTACCCACCACCAGAGAACTGAAGACTGAGGACCAAGGGGACGCTGCTGGATCCATGGTGGTGATTTCTGTTGCCACTCTATTCCAGATGCTTGCTTGATTTCTGCCTTTTCCTTCCATTCTGCTCTATCACTACCACTCTTCACTTTTAATAATAAAAACCCTTTTGCGTGTATGGCATCTGACCTTTTTTGTGTCTTAATCTCACTCTTGGGATCCTCCTCAAACCTCCCCTAGCATTGGATTGGGACAGCAAGGCCATGAGCAACCTGAAGACACGCTGCCGCATCCCCTTGCCCCCTGTCTGCCAAACTTCTGAGACTGGAAAGCAAAATTTGGTTTTAAGAAAACATGGCAAAAGCCCTGAGACTCCTTGATGCTGTGATATAATGTTTAGGGCTCTGTAAGACAGGCTCACGTCATGAACGCTGCTCTTGTCTTGGAGAGCTTCAGTAAATAAGACAGAAAGGGGAGCCACGCACACCATTCGATGTAACATTTCACTTCAAAAACATTAATGCCAGCTCTGATTCCCGTTTAAGGAAATAAACTTGCCTGCTTTGAAAAGCTCCCATTTAATATCTTGCTGTGTAATGATGATCTTTTGTCTATCCGCTAACTTGAAAGTGGCATTTCTGCTCTTTCATCAGTCTAATCATCTCTGCCAAGCCCTTATTGGTGTCACAGGCCTTTCCAACTGGTGCTCGGTTTCTCTTCTTTTTACATGATAAGCATCTAAATTCTTCAGCAGCAAAAAAACATTTAGGAGAGAACTGATGAAAGCATGTGAGAAAAAGTCTGCGATGTTTAGATGGGGAATAAGAATATCCAGAATGGTTTTAATTTTTCATGATGTCTGAGGGGAGGGGGGTGTTAGACCTCCAGCTTTAGATTTTAAGGATTAGAACCTCATTCAAGGGAGAAAGCAGAAAGAAATGGCCTTGTGGAGAGTTTTCTAGGTGACTGAAGGACCAGCTCTCCTGTTGCAGACTGCGTTGGGGCTGCAGAGAGGAGCTGAGGCCAGCTAATCATCCCACTGAGGGGCCTTAAGGGGGGAGTCTGATGCAACATATGCAAAAATACATCCTAAAATAGGACATGTTATGTGTTAACCTGTACCAGCTGCCTCTCTCCTCTTCCTAAATTCTCAGCAACATCACAGAATCACAGAAACACCAAGGCTGGAAAAGCCCTTGAAGCTCCTCCAGTCCAACCATGAACCTCCCCCTGACTGTTCCCAACTCCACCAGATCCCTCAGCGCTGTGTATCCCTAATCACACCCAGGTCAGGGTCTTGCTGCAGAGACCTGGCTCTCTGGCAACTGCTCAGTGTCTCTGCTCGAGGGTACGGGCTGCAGAACAGCCTGACTGGCACCTCTCTTCTTGGGTACCACTTCGCAAAGGTAACGGCGACCAGGGAAACCACACACACAGGAGGAGCTGAGGAGGAAAAAGCGATGCTGTCTGCAAAGGCACGGGCAGGGTTGGCATGGGCAGAGCTGCAGGGAAAGGGAGGAAAGCAGAAAGTCTGTGTGTGCTGAGCAAGCAGAAGAGCAACCAAAGCAACCCTGCGTTATTCCAGCCTGCGAGGTGCGGGAGGGGTTGGGGTCAGCCTTGCAGCAAGGCCACTGGCTGGGGACAAACGGGAGTCTCGGCGGTGGCCTCGGCAGTGACCGTGGCTGCGTGCAGCCCGGGTGAGACGGGAGAGGGAAAAGTGGTGAGTGGCAGTGCCCCGGCACACTGCAGTGCCTCCTCTGCCGCCGCGTCCCCACCTCATCCGGCCTCGTGGTATTTACCCAGGCTTTGTTGCGAGCAAAGCCACCTGCCTTCTTGATGGGAAATTATGACGGGGAAATTATAGGTATTTTCAATTTACCCTAATTTCATTTTAAAATGTGCAATTCAAATGACAATAAAGATGGGCGCAGTTGGGAATATAAATGAGCTTCCCCAACATAACAGCCCAGAGATATATAGTGGGCTTCTAATTCATTTGCAGGCATCCTGACACTTCTCTATTGTTATACAACAACAGCTAATCACCTTCCTTTGTTAAGTATGAATCACACTTCTCTTTAGTAGCTTCCCCATTGTTTGATGGTTTAGTAGCTGTGCCTACGATTTACAGAGGAGCCTCTTTGTATTAAAATCAGCCCAGCTCCCTCCTGCACTCAAAATAAAATAAAAAAAAAAAAGGAGATTAAAAAGGAAAAAAAAAAAAAAAGAGCAAAGGAAATGAATTAAAATCTTTGATCTTGCCTTTCACAAATGGGATTGGGCTTTCTAATATTGCAGGAGCTTCCCCGCGAGGCGGCGGGTGCCGCGGATAGCATGGGTTTGTGTGTGCCAGTGTGTTTTGGGGTATTTTGAAGAAAAAAAAAAAAAAGACACAAATTGTAACTCATCAGAATGTAATTCCACTTGGTTACAATTATAATTCCTGCCTGGCTTCTTGTAATTAATTTGAATGATGGTATCAGACAGAGCCAGCCTACAGGCGTCGGGGAGGAGTGTGCATGCAAACGCTTGCACGTCCCGGTACCCTTGTGACACGCTCGCTCCGGGGACCAGCATCGCTCCTTGCGTCCGTGCAGCCACTGAGGCACCCGAGTGCACCCCTCTGCTCCTGCTATTTTAAATCAGCCCCTGGGAAACCATCGCTGGGGTCACGGGCTGAGCCCCCCGGGCTGCAGGCTCCTGCCCTGCCAGGTGCAGCCCCCTCTCTGTGCTCCTCTCCCCTCTGGATGCCCTTCCAAACCTCTGCCCTGAATCCAAAAGCAGCCTGTGGGCCTGAGGAATGAGGAGCTGGAGGCAAAGATGCCTCTTCAGCTCAGGGCTTTCACACTCCCCAGTGGGAAGCACAAAAGGGAATCAAACACTCCAGCGCTACGTGGAGAAGCACAGCAGGAGACCCTCCAACGCAGAGATGTAGCCTTCATTTTGCTCTTCACCCTGGTCCACAGACCCTCCACTTTCCTTCTCCTACTCTCACCTCCTGCAAAAATACAGATGCAGTCAAATACCTTTTTGCCATGAAAAAAAAAAAAAAAGGTGTAAAAATGAGCAACTGCACACGTGTATGCAGAGGCTTGGAGCAAATGGCTTTGGATAAGCAATAACTCTGCTCCTCCCCATCCTGGCACACTGGATGTGCATTTCCATAGAGCCACTGGGCTCTGGTAGTATAAATAGTTTATGGCATATCAAACTATTAAACATGATTTTAATCCCACTTGTGATGTTCAGCGCATAACTCACAGGAGGCTGACTTTGATGTGGCTGGTGGAACGGAAATCACATTGAACAGATGTTCCAGCTGGAGTCGCTTAGTGTTTCCAGACCCTGCTCTCGGTTTTTTGTTTTTTTTTTCCCTCTCAGTTCCTTCCCCTGCTGCTAAGATGGGCAGGCAGCGCCTGCATGAGCTTGATGGGAGCCAAACTTCAACTTTGCATCAGCTGAAAGAGAATATTCTCTCCCACCATGTGCGTACACCCTGCAAAGGAAATAACCCCCACCCTGGCGTTTCATTGCTGCCTGTGAGCATTTTTGATGTTCTTTTCAGTTGCAAAAGAAAATGAAAGCAGGAGGAGTGATCTACCAGGCTGCAGCTTCCTGGGAGGGATTATTTTTGGTTCTCTGGGATTATTTTGCAAGGCCATCTCTTTCAAATGGTGCAGCTGGGCAACGTTTGCTACGGTGTGAACAGCGGAGGTGGAGATGTGTGGTGAAACGCAGCAGGTTGTGCCAGGCTGAGGAAAGCTCACCAGCCAACAATGCTGCTTCCTTCCTTATTCTTGCAGAAATCACTTTTCTTTTCTCTTTTCCCCCCCAGGGTGCTGCTTCTCTGACAGATGTTGGAAGAAGTCCCATGGGAAGGACCCTCTTTCATGGCTGGAGGTGCAGCCTGCCTTGCCCAGGACAGTTCCCCAGGAGAAATGAGTGGCCCAGATAATTTTTGCTGAAGAAAAGTACCTTTAGCTCTTTGCAAAGTGAAAGCAGCCAATTGCCTACCAGGTTGGGATGAAAACTAACGGACTGGGCAGCAGCTAGAGCACATGGGATGAAATCCACCCCAACGCAGGCTGGTTAATCCATCCTGATATTTTTCTATCCCTCCATCACCCATCCAGCACTGGGAAATTGATATCCTCATTAGACCCCATTAAGAACAACATACTTTTAATAGCTGGATAGGATATTATTATTATTACTTTCACAGCATGGAGTATTTAATGGCTCAGAGTGGAAATTGGTGTTCTTTATTGGGTCTTTCTCTTTTCAAAGCAGATTCCACCAGGCTCAGGGATTCAGCTCACGTCTCCTGCCCCGCACTGTACAGCACAGCGTAATGATGTCTCCAGCTTCACGTTGTTTGTGAGAACGCGTGTGTGTCTCCAGCTATTGTAACTGTTTGCCGGCTGTGAAATAACCCATGCTATTATCTCATTTTATCTGGCCGGTTCTGTCAGGACATGCTATCCAGAGACCCAAGAGCCTGTTAATCTTCCGGCAGCAAAAGCTGGAAGTCTTAAATGGTGAATTTTCTGCTGTGCTTGAGTTTGTTCAGCCAGTTTTAATTGGACTCTGGAAAGCAGCTGGCATGCTAATATTGAACAACCTGCATTTGCAAATTGTTGGTAAATACAGCTGCAGGAATTGTATGTGCAAATGAAGCCCGGCTGGAGGGAGGTCAGGATGAGCCCGAGAGCAACAGCTATTGCAGAGGAGGAGGGAAGAGATCTGTGAAACGCGGATTTTTGAGGAAGGAAGATTTTTCTTCATGGATTTACAGTAAAGGGTGGATGATACGGCTCTGGACACACACCTGTCCCCATCAGACGGTGACTGACACTAGCTGTATTTCACGGGAGGGAGACTTCCCACCCATTAGGTGTCTAACACGCTATCTCAGTGGAGAACACCACAAAAAATCTCCCCCCTGAACAGTCTGTAAGACTGAAAACATGCATTTTGGTCCCAGACATCTTAACAGGCCTCATTTCTGCTACTGGCCGCGTAAAGAGATGCTGCTTGCTCAGCTGAAACCACTTAGGATCAATCCCTGGTCTAGAGATCCCGGAGGGCCTGGATCAGGGCACGCAGTGGGGCCACGTGCAGTGCCCACAGCAGCTGGTGATGCCTTTGCTGAAAACCACGGACACAAGCCACAAAATCTGGGAAACAGCCTGTCCCCGGGGGTGCTCGTGTCCTTCTGGTGGCCCACAGAGATGAGGGAGGATGAGATCTCCTGTCTTCACTCTATCAATGTACCAGTAAAGCCCAATAAGGGGAAACGCCCAAATCCCAGCATCCCGCTCCTGACTGGAGTCAGACACACACGGGCAGCTGTGGGGCAGCGATGGAGAGAGCAAGGAGGCTGGGATCAGACAGCACCCAGAGATGGCTCTGCCGGCCGGGTACTCACGCTGGATATCAATGGTGACGGAGGTCTCCTTCCCGCTGGGAATGGCTTTGTTGGTGGCGCGGCAGATGATGCTCTCCCCGTTCTCAATGTCAGAGGGGGCGATGAAAAGGGTGCTCATGATACTCTCCCTCTTGCCATCACGGAGAAGTGTCTGTGGGGAGAGAAACAGAGATGAGAAAAGGCAGTTTCTGACAGGAGAGGGGCCAGGAGTCATGCCAGGCTCTGTACACACACAGCTAGCCCTCGCTCCTCCGAGTTTCTCAGCCCAGCAGTGCTCTCTGCAAGAACAGTTCCTCTGGCTGGAATCTGCCAAGAAGCCTTACGGGAACAGCACATACAAATTTTTTACCTGGGAATTAGGCACTTAACTCCCATCTGCTTCCCTCCAGCCCTGCTGTGCCTAGACCTGGGAATCACAGCTCCAGCGAGACACGCGTCACCCACTGTCCCAGGAAAGAGGGAGCCGAGGGACAGACAGGGTAACCACCTTCCTGAACCTGCTGTCACCTTCTGCACCCATGCCAGGTGACCACAAAAAGCTGCCTGGGCCACTTTACATAGCAGTAAGTGGTGAAGCTGGCTGCCAGCATCACGGAACTGGTCCTGGCCACGGGTCCCTGGCTGCTGTGCAGTGGTCCAGACCAGCCCAAGGTAAATCACCACCACTCTGGCTCATCTCGTGCTGGTGATCACCATGATGGAGACCTGAGGATGCTGGAGATCCAAAACCTCGAGCCTGGTTTACAGCAGTGGTTAACCAGCTCTATCTGCTCAGCCTTGGCACCTTGTTTCTTCCCTGGAATTATCTTTGACTTCCAGCCATGGTGCCCTGCCCCGGGAGCCCTGCCTTATCAAACTGCCTTATCAGACTTTCAACCCTCCTGCGACTTCTTATAGGCAATGGTCACGTCACCCTCTAGCCCTGTCTTTGGTAAACTAAACTGATCAAGCCCTCAGAGATGCTGCATGGTCTTCAACCTTTTAATCACTCTGAGCTTTCCTCTGACCTTTCTCCAGTTTATCAACATCAGCTGGAGACCAGAAATGCCAGAAACAAAGCTTTTTCCAGCTGTTGATAATAGTGGTAAATGCCCACAGATATACCCACCCCATAACTATGGACTTTGGACCCTGCCAGGCAGTTTTTCTCTCTGTCTGTATCCTTCAAGTTCCGTCCTCACGATGTAAGGCAAGTGCTTTATTGAATTATAAATATATGGCAGGAGAACCAAAGCTTTCACCACCTGGGTTCATCATGACAGGTTCTTGCGTACAGATTTGTGCCTCTCAGGCGCACCAGGCAAGGAATGATGCTGAGAAATGGACACTACAGTCAGCTCAAAAGCTGGGGGAGAAGCAGGACCAAGACTTATTACAGAATCCCAGAATCATCTGGGTTGGAAAAGCCCTTGAAGCTCCTCCAGTCCAACCATGACCCTCACCCTGACCGTTCCCAACTCCCCCAGATCCCTCAGCGCTGGCTCAGCCCGACTCTTCAACCCCTCCAGGGATCCCGGGGACTCCCCCCCTGCCCTGGGCAGCCCATTCCAACGCCCAACAGCCCCTTCTGCACAGAAATCCTTCCTCAGAGCCAGCCCGACCCTGCCCTGGGCAGCTTGAGGCCATTCCCTCGGGGCCTGGCGCTGGCTCCTTGGCTCCAGAGACTCATCCCCCCTCTCTGCCCCCTCCTGGCAGGGAGTTGCCGAGGGCCAGGAGGTCTCCCCTCAGCCTCCTCTTCTCCAGA